ATCATCAACTGGATACTATGTTGGTGGGAGAGAGCAGGAGGGACTCACTAATGCATTACTTCCAGCTTAACAGCTCTGCTATTCTGTTGACCTCTGCGGATATAAACCAGCAAAATCAGATAACCAGCAGTAAATCAAACCCAATATCTAATTATTAGGTATAGATCTTAGGTACCATCACTGCCTGTTCAAAACTCACTGGAAGAGGGAAGCTCTTCTCCAGCCCCTACAGACTTCCAAGAGCCTTGGGTCAGGTCTTTCTAGAGCTGCTCCTTCCTACTCTATAAACGGATGACAAGAACTTCACACAGCTTGTTTTTACCTAGGCGAGGTGTTGGAGGCAGTAATTAATTACTGTTTGTAGAACTCATTGAGACTGTTAGAAAAAGGCACTAGAGAGAAAGTGGTGTTATAAATTATTACACTTGAGAACGCTCAAACTCTTCAGCATTCCTTCGCTTGCTTTCTCACAAACTTGAAGCATTTTCTTTCCCTCTTCTGAAACAAAATTTGCCCTCTTGACATGCACAAACCATTAGAGAGGCTGCATTTACAAGCACCTAACTATTTTCTCAAGTTTATTTTGACATTGACTTTTAATCAACTTGATGATGATTGAAGAAGGCAGTCCAATGTTTCACTAAAAAGGAATATTAAAAGTACATTGATTGTGTGTACAAAGATATGCAATTAAAAAGTATAAGCCAAGTGCTGTTATTTAACACTCGACTTTACTTATTTTCAACTCCTGTCACCCTGTTGTGTACACGGTTAAATATGCAATACTGTATTTTTCAAGTAAATCGGCTGTAAGCAATTTTATATTTTAATGAAAATAATTACAGTTTGAGTAATATGAAGTGTATCTGAAGTATAACCCCCAATGCTACTTCCCCAGAATTAGCTGTGATATAAATTATCATGATTTATTATGGTTACTCTATGCTTTATATGTTTGTAGGGGATCCTGGCTAGCAATGATGATTCTTAACTAACAAAGAATTGCATGTCAAAAGCAATTTTTTCTTGGATCTCTTCTGTAATTCTTCCACAAAAGTGATATGATTTAACTATGTTGCAGTATGTGATATTGCAAAGATGGCATTATTGTGCTGTCATTTTGACAGCTTACTTTAATTTACACCATTTAATGGATGAATACTTTTTTTTTTTAAAAATCTGGTGTTATTCTTTCTTAATATACCATATGCCATCGATCCCATGTGCACTTCTTTGCATAAGCATAACAAATTGTATAGTGGTATAAAACAATGTATGTGTCATATACAACCTATCTTCTAAGTGACACATCAGAATCTGAGGCCCTTTTTGTTCTTCAAGGATACTGTGAATCTTATGGCATTTCTGAGCTCTGAGTTGAAATATGTTACACAATACATCATATAGCAATTGGCATCTGTCCACCTCAGAGATGGGCACGTTTCAGATATACTGCATAAAAATAAATTTATTTAAGTCGTTTGCCTTGGTACAGGCAGCACTATAGAAAGTGTAAAGAATATAATAATTACATTTCTGCAAAAGCTAATATCTGCAGCAGCTGGTTTCAATTGTAATCACTATTTAAAAATATTTAGTCAAATCTCTCAAAATCTTTTTCAGTTCCCAAACATGTTTTGCCAGCTAATAGTAAGTAACTGCTCATCAATATGAATAAAGCTCGGACGATCACTCCCTCTGTCTTCTTTTGGGGAACGCAGACTGATCATTCCACTTTCAGTGGAGTTAGGAGGTGACCTCCAAAGGAAACCAGAGGATATACCAGTTTGATCCAGGCCTGTCACTACTTCAGTCTTGAATGACCACAGCAAATCTCAGCTTAACAGAACTTCCACATCCAAAATCCTCCTCCTCTGTTTTGGCAGTCTTCCTAAAGAAGACAGAAGCTCGCTCTATCCATGTTACAAAGCGGTCAGAAGTTTTGTAGCTGCACAGGATGCCACTCAGCTCAGGAGAGAAAGTCCTCCTTCTTGGGAGGATGGATTAGCTTGAGCTCAAGTACCACGTGAAAACATTTACATAGCTTCTATGTCAGTGCTGGCTTTTATCTACCTTGCTTAGGCCTGTCTGCAAAAACTGTGTTGACATGTCTACCAGAGCCTGCAGCTCTGGCATGGAAATAGTTGCCAATGGAGCCTTCAGCAAATACACTGTGGGATATCCTGTCAGTAGGGGAAAATTTCACAGTGCCTTTGGGGAATGGTCTGATTTAAGCAAAAAGCTAATGATTATTTAGTAACAGGGTGAAGAGCTAGCTGACAATACTTTAAGAAATTAGCTTTATTTGGTAGATCATTGTCTACGTTCCAAGGACACTTGAAGGTTAAATAATTTTTTAAAAATAACAAAACAGAAATGAGAGTCTAGTCATTCTGTTCTATTACAAAGTATTATTTCCGGACAGAATTACTGCAAACAAAAATGCAGCAACAGCTAAAGATTTTAAGAAGGATGTATCCAAGGTTGAAAGCAATTTTATTGACGTGAATTGAAGAAATACAGCATACCTTTGTACTCAGCTCTTAGATGTTAGATGTTATATGTGACACCCAGTATGACATTATAACCAACTGTATATGTCACAAAAATACAAATATTCCATGTGGAGTAAAGCTGAAATGAATTAATACCTCTGTCAAGGTGTACCCTGATATGTATTAAGCCATCATTACTTCAGATTCCAAGGCACACATTTCTACACTTCACATGACAGAGAACGTGCAAATGTTCCAGCTAAACCAGGAAATAATTTATTTTAAATTGCATCAGACTGACTACCAAAACATTTGGAATAAGAAAACAGTAGCATATTTATAAAACTATGTGCTTATTCGTAAATGTTAATTTTTATGGAAAAATAAATAATTCATATTGTATGTTTTGTATTTTTTAAGCCAAAGCAGCAAGGAGTTCATCTATGACTAACCTGCGAAATTTTCAGAAGTTTTATGTGACAAGAAATTAGGTATTTGCCTGCAGTTACAGCTGAAAACCGGATATGGACAACTGATACATTTCTATTGTGCTTACAAAACATAATTAAGATTTTAAATTATCTTCAGATACAGATTAAGCAACCTACAGGACATTGAACAGAAGATGAAACAACTGACATGAACAGATCATTTTTCTACATATTACTTTGAGAGGCCATATCAGGTAGAAAATATTGGAGCTAAACAACAATGTATAAAAGGCAGCAGATGCTATTGCATGTTAGGCAGCTGCTTTCATCTGTAACAGATTTCTGGTTGTTATATGTATATTTTGAAAAAGATATCTTTGATATTGGATTTAGCATTTGCAATGGGCTTCACTGTAGGGATAGAGAAGTTGCATCTTTTAAATCTCTGGTAGAAATTCTACAATTTACAAGGGGCAGTGAGGTGCCAGATCTCTCCCTCTCCAATAGTAGGAATAAGTGGAGAGAGTTCACACGTTAGAAACACGGCCCTTTGACCTCTCTGATACTGCATAACCCTCCTCAGTACCAAGCAAGGGATCATCTTGCCTGCCACCTGTAAGATGGACCTTCCTTATGTGCGTGAAAAAGGCACTTGTGTATCTCTGAGGTAGACCTCCTCCTTCCCTACTGAAGAAAATAAAAACAGACTAAGGAAAAAGTTTATAGAAAACTAATGAATTTGAAGGCAAAAAAATATATTTTCCCTATCCGCCTTGACAATTTAAATTTCTGTACACTTCTACTCATTTCATTTCCTTTCTGGGTAGAAATAGAGCTCTAGAAAAATGTAACAGGCTTAGCGCACCTAACAGAAAGGAGAGGACTTCCAAACACTGAGAAAAGCACAGAAACAGACTGACATAATATCATATTCATTTCTGCTAGATTTAGTTGGTCAGCCCTTTTCCTCGAGTATACAATAGGTATACACACAACAATCTATAATATGTACGTATGGACACCAGCATATTCACAGCAAATGACAGACCAGATATAGTAAGAGTAAATTTAAGAAGTTATAAATGTTTTTTCATAATAGAATGTATTCAATATTATTGCTAGTGTAAGAGTCCACAGACAAAATTTGAAAGCTTCTCTCTTCTGTCATGTGACCATAAAGCAATGCCAGTAGGAAAGTCATTTCAGTTCAGCTTAGCAATGACTGTGTTGCATTGTCATTAGAAGGTGATTAAAAAGGCAAAACAAGTTTCATTATGAACCTATAGGGAGAACCACTGCCATCGTGAAAATCAGTCAAAAAAGCTCATTCCTGTCAGTAGGCCATAAGGAAGGTAAAACGTTTGCAATGGAGGAAGGACATGGGAGGGGGAATGAAGATGACCGTGACGTTGTCAGCACAATACATCCTGCCTGTCACATCGAGTGGGAGACTGAGGTCTTGCAAAGCCAATACTGTACCACCACTGCAGCTGCGCACAGTCCCTTCTTCACGGTTATAAAATACAAATATAGCATTACATTTCTGCAAGGAGCCTACCACAGAAACAGTTTGTTCAAAGACATGATGAGATTTACTTTTCAGATAGTCCTACAATCTTATCTAACGCGGCACATGAGAAAAAATGTATCCCTAAAAACATTCAAAATTAGTTTTTATACCACCCTCACAGTCATTACTCAGCCATTCTGAAAGATAAAAACGTGCTGAAGAACATCACTATGCGTCACAGCGCTGGTGAAAGCCTGTGCAGGAATAACACTGCTAGCTAACCGTTTATCAAACGCTGCAAGGCCTGCCAAATGCGCAAAGCCAGATTTGCCAATGGTCTCCGTTCCCTCTTCAGCACTGAGCCAAAAGTGCAGCACACTGAGTGTGCTCTGGGTGTTTCAACTCGGTCAAAAACCTGGCCACAAGATTTTGAATCAAAGCGTTAAGTTTTAAGCCATTCTGAAAATCTGGCACTTACTGAGATGTGTAAGTACTTATGGCCAAAATATGGCCATAACCACTAAAATATACAATTGCTGTTCATAATCAGTAGTACTTACTCACACAAAGTTTCAGTGGCTTCAGTCATAGGAAACACTAATTTGATCTGACACTGGAAAGCATTTCTAAGACCTAGGAGACAACAATAACATAAATATTATTAAGACAGAGCTTTCTTTCTCCAGCAATTGAGACTGTATCACTACAACTTCAGCAGATACAAACCAGAACCCATGTTACTTCTATAAATATTTCTGCACCACCTCACAAGTGTGGGCGAGTGAGAGAGAGGCTTCTTTTATTCCCCGCAAAGAATGAAAATGTAACGCAATGGTGAAAGCAAAGATGGCAGAATTCTCAGTCAGAATATAGTAGTGTATTTGCAAAACACGAAACAGTCGCACAGTGCCTGATATAGTACAAATGAATTTTGGCTTTATGAGATGTGACTTTGCTCAATCTCAAAAAGCAGTCGCACAATTGCAATACTCAACGCCCCAGTTTCAGAACGACTGCTATGGACTCAGTAAGGGATCAGTTCTGTAACATGTCAGCTAATTAATCGGTGTGCATCCACTGGGTGATAGTTATACTCGAAATTAAGCATATCTTCAAATACTTGCTTATAAAGGTCTTTTGAGCGTAGGCTCAGGGTCCTGGGTTAGACCAGACATAGCAGAGTCTTACAATATTTTCTTAAAGTATTGCCCAGCCTTGGAAACATAGCTTAGTGTCTTGGACTCTTCTCATAAAGTGAAAAGGGCCATGTGTCTTGTAAAGACTAGCCCCAAGGGAACTGAGGTAAAGTATTTTTGTAGTCCTAACACAAATTTTCCTTGTGTTTATGGCTTCATTATTTTAGTGGGTGTGTTATTTCAGTGTGTTTTTCTGCTACTTATTTTTTATCTTTTTTACTGCTCTTTATTCTACCCTTTTCAAATCAGGAAAATGGACTCAACAGATGATGCAGAAGCCTTTAGAGCAAAGCTACTGTTTTTCATTTCTGTTTCCCGAAGCTTGAATAGTTACATGCTTAATGTGCTCAAAGAATATTTCTGTAACATTATAGTATTAAAGTTACTGTTAATGATGTCCGGTCACTGCAAAAGCTTCCCTTACCAAAAGAGGTGAACGTTTCTAGTTATGTAACTCAGTTTTGCACTAAATGTAGTTAAAGAGTTAAGACAAAAGGAATCAAAATAATAGAACTGGCAACAGAAAGATTGTTTCTGATTAGAGGGAAAACCCAGGCTTAGGATGTGGTTATTTTGCAATTGCAAAATTTGATCTTCAGTAATATCTGGCCATGTGGAAGCAAAAAAAGAAGAGACAGCCTTGAAAATTAACACTTAGCTCTTTTAAGGTAACTTCTTGTAAGTAGTGGTCTCTACAACTATGTAGTTGATCTCTACATTGGTAGAGACCTACCTACCTACCTACCTAGCGACCAGTTGAAACTGGTATAATACATACTGTCTAGGGAGTCCATCTAGCCTTGTTTTGTTTTTTTTTTAACATAGAGTGACATTTTTGCTTGATGCCAAAGGTGTCTGAATTCATACAGCTTTAACTAGAACGCACAAGATAGCAGCTACTGGTCAAGCATAGCTAAAAAGAAGTATTTTCTATTCTGATAGCCCATCCAAATTTCCAGTTTATTAATTATCACATTTACTTTACCTAATGTCAACTCACTTGCCAGATCTGCTTTACTGGTTGCTTATTTGCCTAATTAGAAGTAATTTGCTTATTAACTGAGCCTGGAAGTTGCCCATACGGTCTGTGCTTAGGGACTCCAGTGATCAACCCAGTTGCTGGTCAAAGTTTTGCTAAGAAGGAACACTTAAGCAAATTCCATGAGCCACTGCCCGAAGGCAAAATGAGTTGACAGTAGGGATGACTAGGTAAAGCAATAGGAAGCCCTAAGCTTTTCTCAAATGTCAACCAAAACCTTGAGCCAAATCTTTTATAAGATGTGAAGTTCTCTTTTTTTTTTTTTTAAATTTGTCATAGTCCTTTTTTTCTGCTTTTTTTCTGTGCCAGAAAAAAGAAATACCAAAATATCAGGACAAAAGGCTATTTTTGGACTTACGACATGAGAAAATCCAGGAAGGAAAGGAGACCTCATGAGAAAGCCTGTTTTCACAACATTTTTATATAGCGTTCAAAGAGCGTGTGTATGCAAGGGCAGAACACGGTGCATCAAGCTAACAAAACATAAGTGAGGAAACAAAATGTACCATAACATGATGAGTAACTTTGCTTACCAAGTCAAAATAGTTGGTATGTTGCATTAAAACCTGGCAGATCTGTTGCGTTCTTGTCTCATGATGCGCAGATTACATCTTCGCTGAGAACCACTGCCCTCGCACAGCAGCAAGAGCCTGTTAACATCGAGTTGTCCAGTGTTCAGCGGGAGCTCGCCTGCCTGCAGGAGCTCAGCAAAAGCCATGGCTTTGCATGGAGACAAAACACCAACTCGGCAGCTCCTGAAAGAGGAGCTGAGCTCCTGTGCGTGCCACGAGGCGCTGGGAAGCCAGCTGCCTTCTGCTCCCACACAGCACCGGCACCCAGCCCAAGCAGCACCAAACACAGACATTTGGGGAAAAGACAGACAAGATATTACAACTAGTCTCTGACAAGACAAATTACAAGTAGTGATGCAACCTGTTTGCTAAAAGAAAGTGGTGCAAAACTGGTACAAAACTCTCCTCTTTAAGATATATCTCAATATCTCTCTTATTGAAGTATTTAGAAAATCAGATGGATAGGTATGCATATGGTATAATCATAGGAAAAATTCAAGGTGAAGGAAGAGAGAAGTATGCTCAAAGCAGAGCAGATTAGCAGGTTGCAGCAGTTGTGTTCTACTGTTTCAAACAAAGCAAGAAATGCAACAAAAGTATTTACAATAGATTTAACACAGATAACAATTAGGTAGGAAATAAGATAATGTGATTGACACCACAACTGAAAGCAGCCTGGCATCAAAGAATATCCCTTTGTTGAATTATTGCAAAGGGCGACTGATGCCCCTTCTTCCTCTACTCAAACTAATGCAATGTGATTGAATTTGCCATAGATGTGATCGGACTCAGCATGGACCAAAAAAGGTACCCAAAGCACATCACAAAAATTAATGACAAATATAAATATAAAGTCTATCACTCATTGTTTTTCTGTAGTTTTGCTTTGTTTTCCTTTTGTTTTCCTTTAGTTTTGGAGATTTAGAGATTTAGAGAATGCCTGAGATTAAAATTCTCCTGTGCACAGGACTATACTTTGCACTGAACCTATGTCACATTATTTCTACTGAAATAACTCAGCCTTTATGAAATAACCTAACTCTGCCTCCAGGCCCATTTGATTAGGCAATCTTTGTAGAGCGAACATCAGCTAGTGGAAAACTAAGGAGTATTTACAAAAAGACAAATTTGAAATGGCGACCAAAGGTACCTCCTTATAAATGCTTTGTACTATTCTCTTAATTCTTTCATTCTGCAGAGACTAGCCCTGAGAGCTGACCCAAAGTTTGGGCAAGAGCGCTTAGGATGGGCCATAAATGAGGTAATACTGGGAATCGGGATCCAGCCATGCAACCAGACAGACCTTACCGTACAACATCAACAGACAGGTAGGCAGGTAGCTCCCTTCTCCTACCAAGGGAGCTTCTGAGCCTGAGTTTTCATACCCAGCGCAGGGCTGAGGGAGCTGTTGCAATCTAGTCATGTAGGAGGACAGCAGCCTCATAAAAGGGAATCTTGGTGTCCTTTCCACCTACTCATCTAATAATTTTCCTAGAAAAACACCCCTTGTGGGAATCCACGCCGCACTGTTGCCTAACAATCTGAGAGTTAAAATACTGATTTTACCAATGATAACATAGCTTGAGACATTTCATCAAGCATGCGGTTTTTACTTCAGCTCCAAAGGACTTCTCTGAAAAGTAAAAGCAGATCAAAATACTAAGATCACTACAGGCCTGTTTTTGAGTAAAGTAAAATAGTAGAGCAAAGAAAGTTTTTTTATTGTTAGCACAATAGAAAATTTAACACCAAACTTTAAACAAATTGTGCCGTTTGCTTTTGCAGCAGCAAAGGAGTTTATTATTTCACTATTTCATCTCACCTTGTGTCATTAAAATATAGGACACAAGTAGTAAAACACAAAGTAAATATGCACATATCTTTACACCATGTAGTGTAGCTATAAATCTTACTCTTTGATAACAGCTGTACTATAGCAATCATTTGAGTAGTGCAGCTGCCACAACAATATCAAATTTTATAGTTAAAAAGCAGTCAAAACTTTAATGGTACAGTGGAGGTAGATATATATTGTGCTATAAATAAACATTATCTAATGAAGAAATGAAGCATGTTTATTTTTCCTTGACATATCGTTCAATATCGTATATCTTTGCTCCTGCAAGCTGCTATAATAGCAGCCATTATACTTCAGCATGTATAAAAAAAGTCTACAGTTTGTACTAATTATGTTAGATTTAAATGAGGGATGGGAGAACTTCAGACAGTGTGGCCTTATAAGCAAGGCCTTCATCTCGTTAAAGCAATATCTTAAAATGTTATCAGAGCTAACATGTGCTGGCAGAGGTTCTGAAGTGTTTGGGAATGCAGTGAGAAAAGAGTGGGTTTTCCCCTTAGACGAGTACTTTTGCTGTGTTTGTCTGACATGGTGTAATTGATCTGGTGAGTAGGAGACCATGAGAACTGACGTATCAGTTCAGATGAGGAGCTGCTGCCACAATTATTCAAAGCTATGAAAAGCTTTTAAATGGATACGAACAAGAGAGCAGGTCTAGCAGAAGCAGCCTCGTGTCCCTCCCAAGGCAATATGTGCCTTGAATACCAGTTTCCACTGATTTACTCAGTTGCTGGGATTACTAGCATGCTCATGTTGAGACAGAGAGACAGAGCTTCTGTCGCGTTTCTGGAGACCGTCACCTACCTGCTGAAGAAAAGGTGTATGAGAGCATAGAAGCGTGGAAGGGACCTTCAGCAGACATGCTAAAGATATCCAGTTTTGAAGAGTACACAGAAAGTGAACTCATCATGCTACATAAGAAAGGTCCATAAAATATTGCCTAATGCTCTGGTGTTTGTTGCTGTAAGTATTTGCACTTGAGCCTGCAGTGAACTGCCTAAACAAATCTCCCAGTTGCTTCCAGTGACCACATTGTGAGTCACTTCCACGAGCTGTCTGGAAACCCAAGAACCAGATTCCCTTCAGCTAGCACTAAATTGAGGGTGCGCACCTAATGCATTCCCACCTCTAACGGGGGTTCAGTCCAAGGCACACACTAGTCTTAGTCCAAGGCTAATGCTGAGATGCAGGCAGATGTCAGAGCCCCAATACCAGCTGTTTTGCTCTGCGGATCCACCCCTACTGCGCTGCACCAGTTGCTGACATAGACATAGCCTAAGACCACTAAAAAAGACCAAGGACCTCAACTATAATGTCACAAGAAGAGGATGACAGAGCGGGGAGAAAGGGGAAGAAACATCCTGGGTTCCTGTAACACTAGGGAATTGGGTAAATAAAATTAGTGAACTCCATTCTCCTAAAAATCTTCCTGGGGATGTGATATAGGGGAAGCTGGGCTTCTCCTCTTTCTGTCGGGCCCTAGAAGCATCATTTCCAAGAAGGATGATTATGACCTTGCAAGGAGTTTGTCTCCTTTTCAGTATGGGTTACTGTGAAGGTGACACACTGACACACAACGGGAGCCACAGAGATCCAGGGGCTGCTGATACACTGGAGATCAAACGCCCGACAAACAGCTCACCGCAGTTAAACTTTGTGTGCGCCCACCATCAGAGATCCTCAGGGTGCTTCTGCTCGCCCTCAACAACGCATTTATCTGAAAAACCCCATGAGATGCTATGAAATAAACCCAACAGATGTTAGCAGAAGATGACAAATCCTAGATACCTTTTTGTCACGTTGCAACCTATGCAATTTGCTCCATGTTTACAAACAAATTGTTACTGCAAAATATTAAGTCCTGGCATTTAGAGAAGCTCTAGAAATTACTCACTCCCCTGGAATTCTGCATGACAAATTAAGACTATGCTTCAACTCCTAATAAATGTAGCTAGAGCAGAGTTTCATAAACATTCTTGAGATTTCTTCTGTAGCAGCTTTATTTTGGCTCCCCACTTTTCCTGCTTAAACAAATGGAAAGGTTGGCTGATATTGTCAAAATACAGCACTTCTCGTGAACCAGGAGTCATTTATTAATGTAATTTATTGAGCCTGCATTGTAAAACATAAAATCATATTTCTACAGGAAAAAAACCTCATTACCCTAAGCTAAGATTATTTTCTTTTAAAAGACAAATTATTGCAGTTGTGGATTCTGTAAGTAAGATTATGTGCTTCCAGAACTGGCCTTTCAGAGGCCAGCAGGGTAAGTTTTAATGAACCGTGCAATGTTGGGTAAGAGCAGAACAGATGTTTGCACAACCATCAGGTAGACCTTTGTTTATATAAATACACTGTGGTAGATAATATCTAATACCTTTCTCATGGTTTAAAATAACCTTCTCACTAAAAATACAAACAGGCCTTTTCCCAGTTGTGAACATGCTTAAAATCTAATTAATACACAGCCGATTGCAAACCCACCAAACCACTCGCACCGGGTCGGGCCTGTCATCCAGCGTCACCTCTTTCCTGACACAGTCTTAATCTCCTCCTTTGTCGTTATATTGCAGTTTTTGCTCTAAAGGTTTCTGCACTAAAAAGTGGGAAGGTGAAGCCATAGTTCAATTCAATTTATTTTTATATTGCCTCTCATACAAAGTCTTTCGAAACGCTTTATAGCGAGAGATAAAATAATCATATAACACTCGCCGGAATTCAGCAGAGTGACTTTCATATAGTCATTCAGGGTGAAGCTATCTACCAGGAAAGGGCTGGGAAAATGAAGAACCGCAGCAAATTTAGAAACAGAGAGTATATTAATAAATACGCATTTGTTCTGCACTGTAGAGTAGCGAGATGAGGGAAGCACACCCCCATTAAGCCTCTCTCATAGAAGGAGGAGGAACCCTTACCTTAGGTAGGATAGCCTCTCCCAGCCTTGAAAATACAAAACGGAGGCACATGCAATGAAGGAAACACGGGGAGCAGAGCTGCTTGTGTTGTTAAGAGAGGTATCATCCAACGGAGTGCTCTACAACTGTTTTGGACACAGAAATGTGAGTCAGTTATGTTTTCCCCCCATTTGTAAGGTGAAATTTCCATTCAGAAAAAGAGAAGAAAAATATAGTCTGTTTTGAGAAAAGAGAGGTAGAAGTGCACTGAGTCACTGCCATTTGTCATCTGCAAACACAAAGCAGGAGTATCCCCGCAACCGAGGAGGGAAACGTTTCTGCAAAAGATAAGGATTCTCTGAAACTTATAGTAGGCAGGGAAGCAAAAAAATGGTTATGGCAACCCC